TATGTTGAAAGGGACCAGCAGAGACGAGACTGAATAAACAATTAGCCCACCAAGCAAACTTCTCAATGGCCAAGACAGGGAGTAGATGCCCGAGAGAACTACTGTGTTTTTGCTGCCTTATCGTAATAAATGGGGGCTCAGAAGAAGGTAGAAACAGAACTATTGGGCATTTCACAACCTCTCAGGATGGGAAGCCATAAGTAGCTTCCTTTTCTTTTCTTTTTTAATGAAAAAAAAAAGGAATTTTAAGGTCCTCTGCAGTCCCGTTCAAACAACTCCCCCAGCCAGCCTTCTGGGATGTAATATTTAATTCATTTACCTTTCGGCCTCAGCACGGATGAAAAACCACAGCTCGCTGTGTTTTTCTTCCTTCGCGTCTCCAACGCAGAGAAATCTTCCTCCTTGCAGTCACTTCCTAAACGCGACAGGGACCGGATGTTATCCAGCGGCAGCTGGCAGGATCAGCAGGGCTTTTGCGCAATGGATAATTAACCCTGTTTTGTACCTCGGAGAGCCTGGACAGAAAAGTGGCACTCTGCTCAGCATAAAAAGTAAATAAATAAAGCGCTTGCCTTTACCATAGATGGAAGCTTTGGAAAAAAGACGTTTCGAGAAGGCTACATGGGGCAGTGCGGACTGGACTTGTGGACAAGTTCTTGCTTCAGCCTTTCCCAGCTCGGTGCCTTTACTAGTCATTTGGGACTATAGTTTCCATTGGCCCCAGCAGGGAGAGAGAGAGTTGGTTCAAGTTAGTGTTTGTGTGTGAAAGTTTTCTTTCGGTCCCTGAAATGAGATTGCCGCAGCAGACAAAAGCAGTTGTTTCTCTGGGCATCCGTTTTTATGTAACTCTGGGTGAGTTATTTGTAAAAATAATAATCAAGCTGGGATACAAATAACTAACACAAAGGGAAGCTCAATGCTTTGTTGTTTCGCAGTTCGCCCAAAGCCAGTTGCATTCTTTCAGTCTCGCCTTATTGAACGCTACCTGTGGACATTTCCATTTCAAGGCAACATTTGAATAAATTTTGTCGGCAGGTAGGACAGCCCTGCAGTCGGTGACAACTAACTACAAACCTTGCTGTGTTAAAAACCCAGAGTGTAACATTGCAACAGGTGGGAGCCAGGTAGTCAGAAGACCTCAGAAATGTGAACAAGTGGGGGTGGGGGGGAGGAGACACAGGAGCTCTCTGCATTGGAGGCACCTTTCTCCCAGTCACCGAGTGCGCTAATGCTTCTTCCATTGGTTGGTGGTTGTGTTGTGGGGAGAGAGGCAGGCCTTTGAAGATCTCCCTGGTCAAAGATCGAGACTTTTTTTTTTTTTTAATGTTTGGGGATGGGGCCCACATTTTGCTTCATTTGCCCCCCCCTCCCCCTTTCCATTTATTTATTGTTCAACGTGTTTTGAAAGTTCCCTTTTCTGGCATAACTGCCAAGTCGGCGGAGGAGCGTCTTGCCTTTCTCCTTCTAGGGCTTGGGGTGGGGAGAGGGAGGGGGCGGGAAGGCCGGCCAGGGGGAGGAGAAGGAAGCGCCGCTGCCTCTGTGGGAATGTGAGCTGTTCCCCCACTCTGTAAACAGCCGGTGACTCATTGCATAGCTATGGCACTGGAGGGATGCGCATGCTAAGCCATGCTGCCCGTGTTTGCCTACCCCGGGAGAGGGAGGAACCGTTTCCACTCGGAAAGGATTCCCGGAGAGACCCCACCCACCCACCCACCCCTCTGCCCCCGTGCTCTGGCCTCGGCTACCTGCAGGTGCCCCCTTCCTCCGAGGAGGGGTCCCAACCTTGAGCGCGACCGCTTCCAAACATGAGGGCAGGAGAGGACAGCTGTAAAGGGACGAACAAGGGCCTGGGAAGAGCTTTGCAAGTCCAAGGTAAACCTTCTCTTGCCTCCCCCCCCCACCGCCTCCCCCTCCTCCTCTTCTGCCTTTCTTCGTCTGATTCCCCTGTTGCACGGCTGCCTCTGGATTCGGTGCTGGGCCTCCAGCTCCTTTGCAGGAAAGGGCGACATGGTGTGGCCACCTTTGCCCCCCCCCTCCATGCTCCTGGCTATGCTTGCCCAGTCATTTGAGAGCCGCGGTCCCTCCACGTGGGAGGTTCAGGGTGTTTGTCTTCTAGGAAGCGCGGAGCAGCTCCAGGGAGCCGTGAGCACCAGTGACCGTTTTTCGTTGAGCAAAACACGCTGCTGTAGCCCCGCTTGCTTGGCAGTCCCCTTCCCGTGTCTCTCCTCGCGCAGGTTTCTGCTGCATCCTCGCTTGGCTCTTCCTGCCTGCTCCAGCTCTTTGCAAGAATCTGGAAAAAAAAGAAAGAAACAAACAAACACGCTTCTGCTACTTCTGTTCCTGTACACAGTAATCCCAAAGCTTTGAAAGTTAAACAAGCCGCGGCTTTACCGCACTGGGCTGAGACACTTTGTTTTGGTTTGGCGTGTTGGGAATGCCCGGGGACAGGTTGCCTTTGCTTCGGAAGCAGAAGGAGACAAGTTCTCAGCCTTCCCTTCCCGGATGGCCTCACCGCTTCTCTGCTTCTTTTAAAAAAAGGGCCCTGGACTTCAATAGGGCAGCTCTGGTGGGCCGAGGAGGAGGAGGAGGGGCTGGGCGAGGGGATGTCCAGTGCCTATTGGAAAGCTTGGGGTGCCCCTCCGCCTCCCGAGGCAGGAGCAACAGGCTCTGGGTTCCAGTTTTGCACTCATCATTTGGCATGGTGCTGATTGCCACAAGTCAGGCCAGGAGCCGCTCAGGCTGCTCCAGCAAACAACACCCCCCCAAAAAAACCCCCCTTCTCTTTCTCCCCCATGCAGCCTGAAATGCATGGATTTGTTGACTCTCTCTCTCTCTCCCCCCCTCCCTCCCCATGCCTTTGCACAGAGATGACCCCAAGTCATGATTTGCTTTTGGGCTTCTCTTGTTTCCATGGTTACCATCTCAGGGTTGGCTACTTTCCCAAGGTCACCATAGCAACTATCGGAAGGAAATCATGCTTGGGATGCTTTGGCTAGATGTCGCCCGTCTTCTTCTTCTTCTTCTCTCTCTCTCTCTTTTTTAATGATTAGAATGTGTGACACTATGTAGACGTGCATGGACAACCAGGGTCTCCACTGCCCACCAGCACCAGCATCCCCCCCCCCAGCCTTGTTTTCTCCTCGGACGGATGGGTGGTGGCCCGGGGAAGGAAGACCCTCCGGTCTGAGCATCTCTTGTGGTCTGAGCATCTCTTGTGTCCGGCACTGCAGCCTCCCCGAGCCTTTGCTTCCTCTAGGCACTTCAGCTTTTCATGTTCCAGCCTCAGTGGTCTGGCCTAAACTGGCGGGGAGAAGGAAGCCACTGTGATGTCACAGCTGCATTGCCCTCTCCTTTGGTGGTAGGTACACGGCTCTCCGAAGCTGCTCCCAGGGTGTCATCCTCCTCCTCCTCCTCCTCCTCCGTGCGGTGCGATGCAGGTGAAGGCTCTGCGCTGAAGTCTAGACACTCCGTCTCTGGTGCTTCTCTGGAGTAGTTGAGGGTACCCGAGGTGAGAGTGAAGGGCAGCCGGAGAGCGAGCACGCACGGAGGGGCTTCTCTCCTGCGCTGGAATAACAGGGGGGCCCCTTCCTCCAGCCACTGGGGTGAGAGGATGCCAGCCCAGTGAGGAAAGCGGTGCCTTGTTTTTTCTCCTCCTCTGTCGATCCCTGCTGCCTTGCAAAGAACGGGTCAGCTTAACAGGTGGGGCTGGGAGAGGCTGGGGGACTTTTCTGCCTTTGAGGAGCCAGGAAGAGGGAAGAGGAGGGTCGCCTGGTGGGGGCTTTTTTAACGACGGGCACAGGACGAGGGTGGGCTTTGGAAATGACATTTCGCCTGCTTTTCAGAAAAAAAGCACAGAAAGCAAACTTGGGGCTAGTTTGAGAGGTTTGGGGGGGGGGGGAAGGGTTATTTGGCTTTGGGAGATTTTCCGAGCAAACCGAATTCGGATGAGCCGAATTCTTCTGGATCCAGAAATTCCATCTCTTAACTCGGGTCTGGCGAGGAATCAAGATTCAAACGGCCATCTGTTTTCAAAGCCAGGATGAGGAAACAGCCTTTCTGGGTGGCTGGTAAAATGTGCTGCTACGCTGGGAAGTCATTTGAGGACTTTGGGTTCAACAGTGTGGAAAGTCTAGTCTAGCTTGCGGTGGTGGTGTGAAAATCAGGAGAGCCTGGCCAAGTAATTCAGGAGGATATGGGGAAGCTTGGCAGAAGCCCCACTGAACTCTTTTGGCTGCTGCTGCTGCCACCATTCCTCTTTCTCTTTTCACTCCAGCACCCCAAATTGGAGATAAGGAAGGCTGGGAAGAAAGGTTATTCTCATAAAAACTGCTTTAAAAAAAAAAAGAGAGAGATGTCATTATTATGAGTTGGTGGATGAAGTCTCTTGCTTGTTTGTATTTTGCAATACGGTAGTTCTTGACTTATAACTATTTAGTGACCGTTGAAAGTTACAATGTCACTGAAAAAAGGGATTTACAATTGTTTTTCACACTTACGACCGTTGCAGCATCCCCATGGTCCTGTGATCAAAATTCAGGTGCTTAGCCACTGGTTCAAATTTATGACGGCTGCAGCTTCCCGGGGTCAGGTGATCCCCTTTTGCGACCTTCTGACCAGTCAGTGGGGAAGCCAGATTCAATTAACGACAAGGTTACTGACTTAACAACTGCAATGATTCACTTAACAACACTGGAAGAAAAGTCGTAAAATGGGGCAAAACTCACTTGGCAACCGGCTTCGTTTAGCAAGAGAAATTTTGGATTACTGCTTAGGAGAGAACATTCTTATGTAAGTCCAGCATCCTGAGACATTGTGGGTGGATTGAGTGGCTGGGGAGATAAAGTTTAGAGGGGAGATTTTAAAAAGCAACCTCTGTGAAACATGGTGTGAAATATCCTTGCTGTGATGGGTGCCGGTGCCTGAATGAAAATGCATCCTTCTTTTCTCTGAGCTGATCCTTATCCTGTTTTCTCCCTTTCTTTTCCCCCTTTTTTCTCCAGTTGCAATTTCTGAGCAATTCTGTCCAGGTGACTGTGTCCAGGTTATGACGACTAATCCAAAGCCAAACAAAGCATTTAAGGTAAGGCTTAGTTGGATTTAAAAAAAAAAAAAAAGTTCCATCTTCAGTGAGAACTGTTCAAGATGCCAACCCTTGAGTCTCCGCTGTTCTTATCTACCTCTTTTCCAAAAGTCAGTCTGTGTCCCAAAAGTAAAATATGAGAGTGTCTTTCTTAAAGACCACAGCTTTATTTGGCTTTACTTTAAAAAAAAAAAAAACACAATGTTTCTAACTTTGGTTTGGAGGTAATGAACAATGTACTCAGCTGAACTTCTATAAAATTCATGGTTCAACCTAGGTTGAGCACAGTTGTCAAATAAACTGCGTCTCCCGACTAACTTCCAGGTAAGAAAAAAAATATTTAAGCCACTACAAAATTGCTTTCTGGCTGCTGTAATCTTTTTTTAAAAAAAAGCCTGATCACTGAGTGGTCAAATATTGTCACATTCTGATGTTTTAAAGCATCAAAGTGATACAAATATTTTAAACATACACTCCTCATCAGAGAATTGGGGTACTGTAATGTGGGAATTATCATGGGGAGCCGGGGGGGGGGAGGGAGAGATGCTGCCTAGGGAAACGGTCGGATAGGAGAGCACAGAGCCCACAGCTGTATAACGGGTAGAGAAAGAGACTTGGAAAAGAATCTCCCTAGCCTTTCAGACTGAAAAAGAGACGGTGGGTTATTTGTACTTTCAGACTTGCAAGATTCTGTTAATGTAGCCTTCCAATAAAGTAAAATTAGCTCATTGGATTATGTTTCCTGTCTGGTCTACCAGAGAAGGCTGACAGTTGGCTATTTGTGCTAATTACAGAAGCATGTCAGTTACGGAATAATAACATCAACTTCTTCAAAATCATAATAACTGTAACACTGAGCAATATTTTTAGAAGTGAGGATGATACTCTGAAGGGAGGCTAAGAGGGATTCAGCCTGTTTGCAGCTTCGGCAGAACCGGTATCTAATTTTTTGTTGCCCGGGCCCAGAATGGACTTCCGGAAGCTGCATCCACACAGAGGACCGGTTGTTCACCTATTTGAATCCCACCACTGCTAAGAGGGGAGTTACAGGCACAAAATACCGTAGTTGTTTGAGTCACAGTTACTACATCTCATGAACGTGGACATAAAAATGTAACTTCAGGTTTTGTTTCCTTTGGATTCTAACTCAAAATTCTAAAAATAGCCCAATTCATTCCTACTGGCTGGTCTTGAGCCCGTGAACGGGATGTTGAACTCATTGGAGTTTTCGGAGATTCTATGGGCAGCCCACACAAAGTACTTCCTAGTACTGATCTGGTGGTCACAGAGGGGGGCAATCTTGAGTTTTGTGGACTTCAACTCCCAGAATTCCTCAGCCAGGGCATGCTGGCTGAGGAATTCTGGGAGTTGAAGTCCACAAGTCTTAAAGTGGCCAAGTATGGAGACCTCAGACCTAGTGTGTCGTAATCATGAGTTTTGTCATGTCGGTGTCCTTAGGTCAAGGAGGAGTCGGGAGAAAACGCCGCGGTGCTGAGCGACGATGAACTCGTCTCGATGTCTGTGCGGGAGTTGAACCAGCACCTGCGAGGTCTCACGAAAGAGGAGGTGATCCGCTTGAAGCAGCGGCGGCGCACCCTCAAGAACCGGGGCTACGCGGCCAGCTGCCGGATCAAGCGGGTGACGCAGAAGGAGGAACTGGAGAGGCAGCGGGTGGAGCTTCAGCAGGAAGTGGCCAAGCTGGCTCGCGAGAACCGCAGCATGAAACTGGAGCTGGACGCCTTGCGCTCCAAGTACGAAGCCCTCCAGACCTTTGCGCGCACCGTGGCCCGCGGCCCCATCACCCCCAGCAAAGTGGCCACCACCAGCGTGATCACCATCGTGAAGTCCACCGAAGTCTCCTCCAGCTCCGTGCCGTTTTCTGCAGCGTCCTAATGTCCAAGGGGAGAGAGAACTCACTGCCTGGCTGGATTTTACAGAGCCTGCCCGCCTTTTCTCTCGAATCAGACGTCCGTCTTTCCCCCCAAAAAAGAGCCAGCGAACCTCCTGGCGGCAGAGTCTTCGAAGAGGAATTTAACTGGCTGCTTTACCTCTTGTTCAGTAAGCCCCTTGGGGCTGAAATTGAAATTCCGTACCTAGCCCCAGCAATCCGACGAGGGGTCTTGCGCAGCTCTTCCTTGGGGTCTCTTTTAGGCCCCAGTTGACACGAGGTATTGAAGGAATGTGTGTTAAAGGAAAATTTAAAACGGATAACATGGTAGAATCATCAGGCCTGATGGCAAAATAGGAAAAAAAAGAAATTCTCTCTTCCTCTAGTTAGGAAAAAAAAGCAGCCACATCCTAGTTACCTTTATAGGTTGTGGGTAATTGGGATTTTGGAACAGTTACTGCATCCAAATTTCATAGCCTGAGGTCTTTTCTCTCCAAATTCAGAAAGCCTTTGTGAGTGAATTTTCACCTCGTTGTCTGGTCCCTGGTATTGCTCAGTCCCGGTCAGATGGCCCAGCAAAATGGAACAGCGTCTACCATGCAAAGATTTCACTGAAGCTGCTTCCCATGACGTGCCTGTGAATTGGGTTTCCTTTTTAATGTGGTTGTGTGGCTTCCAAACAATACATTTCAGCCTGTGTCATCCAGGTTCTACAGCGTTGCAGGAGGGAAAAAAATGGGAAACTTAAGAAAAAATGTGCAATGTGGGTTCTGGACTTGGTGGCTAGATTGTGGGGTAAAAAGATAGTTTACTAGAAGAGGAACTTACAGTAAAGGATAGTGCTACAAAATGATGCCTTTGAATCAGCATGACTTAGAAACTTGAAAGGCTTATAAATCAAAGACATGCCGGAAAAAATGTGGGGTTTGGGGTTTTTTTGGACAAAGGAAGATTCCAAAAGAAATATGAATTCAACCCACAGCCTTATCCGTAACATTTTTGCTGCCGTTACCCCCTTCTTTTGGTGCTCTTTGATATCAAGAGATGTCAAAAATAAAAAGCAGAAAGAATTAGGTCTAAATACCTACAAGGAAATGGGCTCCTTAAGATAACGCTCAACAAGCTCGAAGACACGAATTATGTGGAGGATCACAGGAAGGTTTAAAAGTTGGTACCTTTTTTTGAGACAAGTTAAAGTGGGATGTGGGTCTCGTGGTTCTGAGGAACAGGGACAAAATCAGAGCTTGCCAACTGGGTGAGAAGAAGGGATGTAGGCTGCTGTTTGTATGTGTGCAAAAAATGAGGTGTGCACGTAGAAAGGCGACATGTCTGAATGTGCTCAGTTTTCAGAAGATTGTCCGTATGGAGAGCAGAGGAGAGAGAAAGCAGTTTGTGGATTTATGGAGATGTCAGAGGAATGAATGATGGTTAGCGTTGGGTTGTCAGTGAGGGTTGCTGAAGGCAACGATGAAGAGAAGGGAAATGAGGCTTGGGCCTGGGAGTTGTGGAGCGAGTAGGTTGCCCTTTCAAAATTCTTTTGAGCAGTTTTGTCAGGCTTCTAGATTAAAGAGGTCTCAAACTTCCAATGTGAGAACCGAAGGTGTAAAATTGCTGCCCCCTCCTGCTTGGCTGAAGCAAACCCAGCAGAGATAAAATTCCAATTTTGTATTGGAAGCTGGGTGGAGGGGCACAGTTCCTGAGCAGCCCCACCATGCAACATTTACCTGGTGGCACCGTCCAGATGTTCTGCCTCACCCCCATCATGTAGTGATCCAGCCCTGATTTCTATTGCAGGGGGTCTTACATGTTTGCATTCCCCCGTGTTGTCAGACGCTTCCCCTCTATTGTGGTTGGATTTGAATTGAAGACCTAGTTCCTGTGGTGTTTCCTTGGGGTGTCTTAAAACTCCCACCTCTGTTCCCCTGTAGCTAATACTGGTAGATTGTGACCTCTTTTCTCTGGTGCATCCATAAAAGCTTCTTCAAAAGCAAATAAGGAAGAGTAGCTGGCTCTTAACCTCAGTGTAGGTGCTGGGGGTAAGTGCATCCTGAATGGAAATTACTAACACTGTGAATATAGTCCTAGTGGTATTGGGTGCACGGACAGCACAAATCTTGTATCACACCTTTGGCATCTGCACACTTCTTGCCACTTAGCGCTCTTCTGTGCCATTCACTAGTCTAGTGGCGAGGAGGGGGGCTAATTTCGTCAGTGCCAGATCACAAATCGTTGGCTTCAGATTAACTCACAAGCGGGGGTCTCCCTCCAGCCTCCCCTAACCCCCTTGAAGACAAGTTAATGTCTGCTGTTTATCCTAGTTGCTTTGGACTCCCTCGCAAAAAGTTTGAGGAAGAAAGCAAGTTAGTTGCTTTATCTTATTTTTCTCTTAAAATGTCCTTTGGAATACCCTGGGTTCTCTGCGAGCTTCCTGGATCCTTAACGCAGAGGAAGGGGTTAGATTGCACTGTCTGAGTTTCAGAAAATAAATGCCAGTGGCCCGAGTGGGCATAAGAATGTCGGAAAGGTTTGCATCCTCTCCCCTCCAGGGCCAGCTGGAAGCAGAACTCTGGGAAACGAGGGGCGAGTTGACTGGAGCTCCACAAAGATGGAATAAATGTTTAGAGGTGCCTTCCCCAACCTGGTGTCTCACTACAACTCTCGTTGGCCCTTAGTCAACAATGGCCATTGTGTTCCTAGCTCCTGGTTGAAAGCTGCTACATCTGAGGAAGAAATGGACTATTGATGGAGCAGGCTGCCCCACCCATCCTAAATTATAATGGTGCTCTTTCTGGATTGGCTGAGTGTCCTGCTGGTGGTAGCTCTTGAGTCTAGCTTTGGCCTCTCCTTGCTATGCTGAGCTGAGGTTCTCCTCATCTCTGGTGCTGGATGGGCAACCCTTGATCAGCACCAGAAGAGGTCCCCCATTTTTGAGTGGCACTTCCTTGTGACAGACGAATTCCCCTACCCCATAGTTTTATGAGGTGGACAAGCAATAATGGACCTGGAAAGAAGTTGATGGGAGATGCTCTGGTAACTAGACCCATTGAAATTCTGAGTGTGTCCAAAGGAGCTCCAACCGTAGAGTTGGTTAGGACCACCTGTGGTGGCCTTGTGTTGGATAAATGGGTTTATCCCTAGAGAGTTGCACGAGTTTTTTCTGCTGTGGTTAGGGCTTCTCACACTTTCCATTGACCACCCTCTTTGCACTTTCTTCCCAGCAGCTGTCAACACCTCGGCCACCCCTGTCACATGCTGGTGGCACATTGAAGGGGAAGTGATGGCTGATCAGACGACGAGGACGAGATGATAGTGGGCTAACCCTCTGGTTAGGGGAAAACACCTCCAAAGGAAGTAGTCATCTTGATCCCCAAAAGCAGCCATCTTTGCTGCTTTTTTGAGAGTAGCTTCTGCGGGGTAAAAGCATCTGGTGTCCATTTCCCTTGCAATCAGGCGTGGAAAGGCTTAAATCAGAATTAAAAGCTGTTGATACCATAATCATGGTAGGTAATCCATATTGGATATCAATTTAAGGGCCACTTGGAAATATTTGAGAGGCATGCATATAGATACAGATATATGTGTGTGTGACTGTGTGTGTGTGTGTATATATATGATTTTATATATATATATAACATAATTATATACATTTTATCATACAGGTTTTTTTGTAAGAGATATGTGTAATATTGTTGGCTATCTTATTTAAATCTATATACAAAAAAAAAATAGGACAGGAGGGACCTAAGAATTGGTGCCTGCTTTCTATGCAGGGATCGCCAATCTCGGCCACTTTTAAGGCTTGTGGACTTCAGTTCTGGGAGTTGAAGTCCACAAGTCTTAAAGTGGCCATTGCTGGAGACCCCCCTGCATTGAGGGATGCTCAGAATCTGGAAGTGTTTTTCTTTCCACAGTTCCCCTTCCAGAAGGATGGAAGGACTGAAAGGGGAGGAGCAGAACACCCCATCCATCATCCTGAAAAAGCTAGAAAGCAGTTAATCCGCCTTTTTTTTCACCCTCTTCTTCCCCCCCTCCCCTCTTTAGGGACACTTATCACCGTGAAGCTTTGGGGAGAAACACAGCCCTCCGTTGTGTGCAAAACCACTGCCGCCTCTAAGAAATGCACATTTTTTAAAAAAACAAAAATGCCATTTTCGTTCAGCTGCCACTTCTCCCTTTCCTGCTATTTAATTCCCTGAGAAGTTTTTTGGGGGTGGGGGAATCCCACTGCCCACAGGGAAAAACAGCATACTGTGGCTTCAATGTTTTTCAAAGTTGGCCACTTTAAGATCGGGGGACTTCAACTCCCAGAATTCCCCAAGCCAGCCATACCATGCTAGGGAATTCTGGGCGTTGAATTCTGGCCATGGTGGCTGGGGAATTCTGGGAGTTGAAGTCCACCCCTCTTAAAGTGGCCAATTTTGAAAAAAATACTGATTTAAATGATGCTAATGTGGGGATAAAGTAAAGCTTCCTGGCATATTATAAACTAGCATTTTATATGCAAACAATACTTGGCACTTCTCTTATATGCTAGGTGTTTTTTTTTATAGGCAGAGATTCATTTAAAAAAAAAAAATCTCTCTCCCATGGATGATATGACTGAAATTTCTCAGGTTGGTTCAGCCTCTGGTCTCACAAGACCCGTGATCATCTTTGAATATGTGAAAGCGGATTAACTTGGCTTACACACGAGCCTGGAAGGATGCATTTGGATACCAAAAATGCACAGCAGCCAAGTGGTGACTCTCCCTAACCAAGGGGATTGTTTCCTGTTTTTATTCCAGTTGTTTTGTTTTGTTTTGTGTTTTTTTTTAAGTTGCAAGCTGCCCAGAGTTGATTTGGGCAGCGCCTCTGTCAAATCAAATAAAAGATTGCATCTTAATGGTGTATATAAAAAATGAAGCACTTGCCTATATCAAAATCAGAGGAATTTAATTTTTAAGGAAAGAATTTTTCTTATAATATGGATTATTTTCCCCTGTCCCCTTTTTTTTCATTACTACATGCTTTAGAAATTTAGCATGTTTTAATTGTTGGCTGATCCTAGTATTTCCTCACATCATAAAATTGTACTTTTTTAAAAAAAATAAATAAATAAAATTCACATATATGGCTCCAGATCTGGGCTGCAAAAAACTCAGATGGCAGCAAAGAGTCTTATGTATCTCTCTCTCTTTTTTATTTTTGCTTCTCTGGATTGTTGCAGCTCAGATCCAGAAGCTTTAATCACAAGACCGTTCTGCTCTGTGGTTTCTGCAAACTTAATTTTGTTTTAGTATTTATTTTTGTGTTGCTTTTTTATTATGGAATAAATTATTGACATATCAAGTAATGTGGGTGCCTGTCCTGTGAGGCATATGATGTGCGTCCGTGTGTGTGTGTGTGCGTGTGCGTCCAATCGATTTTCATTTGACAACCTCTTCCCCTGTGTTAATTTATTGCTGTAAATTCGAAGCTGCAACCGTTGTGGCTTTTTGGTAAGCTTTCCAATAAAGCATCTTCTGGTTTCAGATTGGATCTTGTCTGTGATCAGAGTCGTTGATAGCCAGCTGGCATATTAATTATTATTATTATTATTATTATTATTAGTAGTAGTAGTAGTAGTAGTAGTAGTAGTAGTAGTAGTAGTAGTAGTAGTAGTAGTTGTTGTAGTATACCACTGCTTTATCTAGTACAGGGGGTCTCCAAATCTGGCAACTTTTAAGACTAGTGGACTTTAGCTATGCTGAGGAATTCTGGGAGCTGAAGTCCACAAGTCTTGCCAGGTTTTGAGATCTCTGATTTAGTACAGTGGTTCTTTTTTCTAACTCGGCAGATGTTAAGAAAAAGGGACTCCAAATCCCAGAATTCTCCAGTCAGCATACTTTATGATGGGTGGACTTCATGTTAGTTGAGGAATTCTGGGAGTTGAAATCCAACCTCTTAAAGTTTCACAGTTGGAAAAAAGACTGGTCTAATAATAGTCAAGGTTATGACCCCCTCTGGAGGGTGACATAGAGGGAACATTTTAATATAATAAGTAATAAGTGTCACATTGCTATATTTGCCTATAAAAAGTATCATATGGTCATTATCAAACTCGGCTGCTGGTCAAAATCAAGTCAACTTTGCAGAAGGGTTGATATGAATGCTCAGAGTTTTGCTGTCTGTCTGAAGATAAAAGGCAGCCAAAGAAGTAATTCTAGATTGTGTAAAACAGATATTAAGATTGCAGAAGATGAGAGAAATATGACATTCCTTACATCGGGGGCTGAATTACAAATAGGAGCTGCATGCCAGCTACAGCATAGACCAAAGAGTTTTTCCTTGCTATTTGACAGCTGTAAAAATCCTCTGCCTTATGTCAACAATGTGATACTTCCTTTGTTTTCAATTAAGTGAACTATAGCACCAATGATTAGCCATCCCAGATTCAACCCAGATTCAACGACTTTCAAATTGATGTGTTCTCTGACTAATTTGTCAACATTAGACAGCACTGGAGAAAAAAATATTACAAATGTTTTTATAATTTAAATTTTTGAAATGTACAGATTGACACAAGATTCATAGCCATCACTCGGGAACCTGGACCCTCCAGTTAGGAAGAAGTACAATAGATCAACACAGCCCTGCCATGGGGAAGTACACCAGCCACAGAGAACCTCTTAACACACTTCAGCCTTTACTCCAAAGTTGTGCTGGTTGGAAAGAATGGGAGATGACGTCCAAAACCATCCGGGAGAAACCTGCTTCATCCTATGTGAACCTGCCATATAGGTGTTCAGAAACAAATCTCCCCTGGAAGAATTTTAATTGGTTCTGATTTTGCCTTAATATTCCCCTCAATTATCTCGAGTGGTGCGGTGGCCTAGAGGTGCATATGCTAAACTGTATTTCTGCTGACGTGGTTTTTCAGTCATTCGAAAAGCAGATGTCCTGATCGTCACCTATTCCACTGAAGTGGTTCACCAAAAGAGCTTTCAATGTAATGCAGCACCTCTTCTTTCAAGATTAAGTCACAACTCCTCTGACATCCAAGGTGCATTCTAGGATCAGACGCTTTGCAGCCTCAATGCAAGTTCATAAAGGAATCTAGTGCTATAATTCCTCACCCTGTTGCCGCACCTTGTGTTGGAAAGAAGAAAAGTGCTTTTATTTCTCCGGGGCTCTGAGCTATTGATTCTCGACCCAGTGGATTGGATCCACAAAAAAGGATGATAACTATGGGAATCCAGTTTCAGTGGGACTGAGCTACAATTGCTGGATGAAAATGTTGATTTCATCCAATTCCGTCCGTCCCTACATTCCCTTGTTCCTTCTCTGCCAATAATCAGCATTATTTCCATGCATTGGGAATGTGAGGAGCTGTGTCCACTGAGAAATTCTGTTTCCCTCAGCCTTCCAGGCTGCCGGGTGTTTGGACCAGCAACAAGTGCATCAAAATCTCTTGGATGTGTTTGCCACAGCAACAAACAAGTAGGATAGGCCTGGCTGTATCTGGGAAGTCACCCTAGGTAGGGTCTTCCCTCGATAGCCAGCTGAGAACAAGAACGAGACGCCTCCATTGCTGTGTTCAACAACGTAGTGTGATTCGATTGACAGCTGTCGGGCTGGAGAGAGGCAAGAAGACCTCAAAAACACAAATTCTCCTTCCTTCAATGTGCCTCTTTACAACTCGTCATCAGAGGTGATCAGCATCCGTTTCTCAAGGCTCTTCTTCTTCTTGCTCTGTGAGGTATCTACTGGAGGGCTCACGTGGCCGTTCTGTCCAAGCCCCGCTCCTGTCTCCTGCATGGACTGCTGCGTGTATTGTTGGTAGGTTGGGGAGAAATTGTGGATGGCGTCTTGAACGATGTCTTGAGGACTCATCGTTTCCTTCAGCCCGCTGGAAATGCTTTGCAATGGGGCCAGACCTGCTAGAAGAAAAAGAGAAGAGAACAGAAGAGAATCAACGGACAAGTAGCTGTTCTTTTCAAGGAAGCCGCACTTGCACAAACCAGCCTGCCAGGAAGGTGGAACCCAATGTTGGTTGAAGGCACCAAAGAAAAACAAATTTGCCTTGACGATTTTCAGAGGTTGATTTCTCCTGCAGAAGAGTCATGACCTTTTCTACCTTATCTCCCAGCCACTTGACAATTTCACATTTCTCTTGGGTTTGTTTGGAGCTGAACTCATCCCTGGAGGTGGCATGGGGCCCACTCCTGAGTTGATACACTATTTTTCATCTTGTGAAATATGCCTAACTGCATCGCCCAAAATGGACAAGCCCCATAAGAGAGAACGTCCCAACTTTAAAGGATGTGTAGGAAGCTGAGGAGGCCATTGGTTGCTTGGGAGAGCATTTTACAATGGAAGCATACTATTCCCACCATCTTCCTTTGGCTGTCTTCTCCCTAAATAAGTTAGACCATGCTCCCAACATCATTTGTTTCACCTACCTTATCTTCTCTTTGGAAAGAAACTGGGGGAAAATGGTTTTTAATCAAGTTTGAGAAATGGAAGTAAACACAAACGTCTTGCTCATTGACCCTAGAGAAAGAAGATACCAGCTGGCATTTCTGCTTGCTCATCCCTTCCTCTCCCTGCCTACATTTTGTATAACTGAAGGAGCAGGTCCCCTTAAATCAAATTACCTGTGGCGCTTTCCTTTTTCTCTTGGTATACCTGACAGGTGAAAGCATAACGGAGAGCGATGGAAGCAAACAGCATCTCGATACAGATAATGAAGTTCTGGTAGCCGGCCGCAACAGTGCCAGCTCCCACCGCCTTCCCGTCAATGATCTGAACCTCTGGGATGACCCCACATTTCTCTAAGATGGCCAGCAACATCCCTGCAAAATAGGAATGGTTGCAAAGCATCAGCAAGAGTTCACTAGTGGGTTTTCCACAGATCCAGGAAACGTCTGAAGGAACCTGCATAATTGTCCCACACCAGAAATCTTCTGAAGCACAAGATCCCACCGAGTGTTGTTTTAAATGCAAGATATTTATACTGTATTGAGAAAACACATCAGGAAAACCCAAAAGAATAAAAATCCCACTGCGGCATTTATGCTCTCTTCTGAAATATTTTATTCTGCTCCTCTTTGCTCCAACCTAAGTTTTTCTCTACTTAGAGCAGGAAAGATCAACATCCACAAAAATATAAGAGCCCTACTAGAACATGCCAACGTTTCTTGCATGCCCATGTTTCATTTAATATTTATTTTCCTAGGGATAGGGAATTCCGGGAGTTAAAAGTCCACCCATCTTAATATGGCTAAGGTTGAGAAACAGTGGGATACAAGACGGATGGCCCAGGATGATGAATTCATTAATGGAGAACCGAAGTCTCACATTTCAGGCCTTCCGCCTGGCAGTGCCGATCCTCCCTACCCATGACAGGAAGTAGAACGACTCACCTTGCCAAAAGGAGAGGAAGATGACAGCCTTGATGGTGAGAAACTTCAGGACTGGCTCAAAAGGTCTCAGAAGCTCCATGGTGGCGAAGTAGAAGAGGAACAGGGCATAGAGAGCCAAGCTGACCGAGAAGTTGTAGATGATGGTAATATAAAGGTATCCACTATGGATGCTGGAAAGCAAAGCATTGGAAGAGGCAGAATCCCTCGTTAGGAAGCATTCCCTTTCCAGGTCTGTCACAGTTTCCCCTTCTTCCTCCCCGTTTCCCTCCATTCTCACTTGAAATCGCCATCGTGGTATTTCCCAAACACTTGGAGAACGATGGTGAGGATAGCCACGACCGGCTTGATGATGCAGAACTGCAAGGTGGCCTAGAAGGAAATGGCTCCATTGAAACCACCCAGCTTCTCTGATTCTAATCACTTAATCCAGACCTCAAGTTTTGGTCCAACCTGGGATGGGCAATCTGAGATCCCCCACAAACACTCCAGTCTACCACGGCTTCCACAAATGCCCCTATCACCCATGGCTGTTGCTAGGAGTGATGAAAGCTGGTGTCCAGCCACCAGGGAAGCAACAGAGTCTCCAGGCTAAGATTGCATTTCCACAGTCTGAGCGTCTGTCTCCAATTACCTCTATGCCTATAAAGGCAGGAGAAATGCAAATATTTCACACAACAGACAACACTAACCTGCAGGATTTTGCCTGGGAAAAATGAACTGAAACTGAAACGAGGTTTTTTTTGGGGGGGGGGGAATAAAGATAATGGCTTCCCTGGAAGTAACATGGATGATGGAGAACTGATCAGCTGTAGCTCTGTTCTACGAGATGTTCCTCACCTGCTTGCAAAACCGAAGAAACCCAATGGAGTAAGACATCCCTCGGAGACAGCAAGTTCCATAGAGACAACTAGAGCTAAGAAAAAGCAGAGCCATACATCAGACCAAGCCTGGGACCTTAAGGCTATGTTGGGTGTGAAATACTCCCAACTGTAAGCAAGAGATGGATATCAGTAAGTGATGGTCAACATACACAATGGGCTTCCCTCGGATTTCCGCCATGATGGTACTTTCCCCTCCAAGATATTCAAAGCAGAGGCTCAGGAAGCTGTAAATCACAAATGCTGCAAAAAAGGGAGATTTATTAGATGCTCATCCCACCTTTATTACTTGATAAGTAACTCAAGACAGCAAAACTTGTATAACCCTCCTTCGTCCTCTTTTCCCCACAACACTCTGTAAGATGGGCTTGGCTGACAGTGGGACTGGCCCAAACTCACCCAGCCGGCTTTCATGCCTAAGGCACAACTAGAACTCACTATCTCCTGGTGTTTGGCCCAAAGTCATCCAGCTGACTTCCATACCTAAGCCAGGACTAGAACTCACAGCCTCATGGCTTCTAGACCAGCACCTTAACCAGCACACCAGACTGGCTCTCAAACATTCATAGAACTCAATATGATGGTGGAAATTGTGAACAATTCACAAGATTTTAAATATGACTGCCTTTAATCCATGCATGTCTAAGTCTCTACAAATAGGCTGTTCTTCCTGGCCACACTTTGGAAGGTTTGTGTAAAATTTTGCCTTTGAACTTGGACTCTTCAGCTCAATTTATGACCGAATGCCTACATCCACACCCACCCCTGGGGTACTAAGTTCTCCAGGAGAGCCGTGAATCCCAGCTCACCTTCGTAGCAGTCCCGCACCGAGTCGAAGTAAACATAGTACTGGTGGCTGCCAATAAGCAGGAGACTAAGCCAGGAATCGAAGGCATAAATGGGGACGATAAAGAGAATCCGGATGATGTAGCGCTGCTCATTGGGAATGGTGTAATTTTTCAGGTGCAGGAAGATCTGAGAGAAAAGAAAAAAAAGGGAAGACACACAACACAGGATCAGATGTAGCATTTCCAGGGAGAAAAACACACAGAGCCAGTAAGGATCAATGTGCTCTAGCTAGTTGTATGGGGATGGGGTGCCTGTTTGTCACCTCCAAAGCCCATCTTGAGACCAGCCAAAAAGAATTTTGGAAGCTGGAAGTCACAAATACCACACATATCTGCTTGCGTGGCCTTCAACCTGGCATGAGGTGAAGCTTCAGGTCTCCCAAAGCTTCTGGGTTCTAAGCAGCAATGGGAAATCTGTCCTCCCCAAGATGCTTGGGCCACAAGTTTCTGCCACTTCCTACTTCTAAAGGGGACACACTCTGGGTGGAAACCACAAGCAAACAAGCAGCCAGGAAAGATAAAGAGGGTTAGAACTTGTCAGGGGGATGGACATGACTTCAAAACAGCTGGCTGGTGAATTCTGGGAGAGGAAGTCCATCCATCTTAAAGTTTCCAAGGTTGAGAAACATGTATGCTAATTTTGCAGGCCTATAAAGACTTACCTCCAAAGAAAACCCTACTAAAGCTGGAAGGCTGAGCTGCTTTACTAGGTAAGAAACCTGTAGGATATGATGTTATCCCCCTCCCCACAAATAAATAAATATATAAAAAAATAAGAAAAGTCATAAAACCATCAACACCCAGGATCTCTATTTCCAAATTGAAAACACTTTCTCTTTCTAAGCAAAACTAAACTAAACATCTGAACACACAATACCACAATTCAAATCCTGCGTGACCCCTAGAGGCTATGGAGAAGTTCTACCCAGATCGCCTTGTCAGATGCATAGGAAGCAAGACTCCACGTAACCTGATCAGGCAGCCATGGCTTTCGACAATCTTTCCCCAAATGGGTGCCTGGCCGATGTGAACTACCGCCTCTCCCACCTACCTACCCAACCAGCAGGAAAGATGGAGTCCAAGAGGCCCCGTGCAGCACTGCCACCTACCTGGTGGAAAGTAAGGATCAGCGCTGTCCAGACAAAGAGACCTGAGATGGTTTTTGCCGTGGATGTAGTCAAAAAGAGGGACTGGGTCTCCTGGGAGTGATTCTGATCAGCCCTTAGCTGGGAACCGTCCTCCACAATTAAATAGCTGGAGGCCATCGGTGGAAAGAAGAAATGGAATGAGGTAGCAACCATGCTGGATGTCAGGAGCTTTTCCGGGGCGGGAGAAGACCAGTTGCTGTGTGTCGTGGTGTTCATCTGCTGGAGAGGAGGGAGCAAAGGTGAATGTATTAGGGAGGAGCACCACACCAGGAAAACTGCCGTGATTGGGAGGAAAGATCAAGGTGAAGGGCTGAACAGAAGCAGATTATTCATCACATCCTTCTACGTTCTTCTGTCAGGCTCACGTAGTCAGGAACAGGAGTTGAGCTCTGGTGGTTGCGCAACAACTCTGGAACTGATGACGTGTTTGAGCCCAGCCTTGGGACCAGCCTGCTCATCTCCCCCATCCACTTTTTCATCTCTTTTGACCCCATCTGCTAGTGTCCTCTCCCTTCTCTGAGGAGGTCACTGTGGCAGTTCCCGCCTATGGGATAGGCTGGCCCAAAGGAGATTGGTGCCCGGTCAACAAGGACACTTTCCCAGCAAGAGAGAGACATGGAATTCACTTCCAATGTATAAAAGCCCACTCAAAAAGGGTGCAAGGTGACTTTGGTCACCCTCCTGAAAATTTCTTGGCTTGGAGCTAGCGAAATGGATAGCCCTCACAATTGCAGAAGTAACAGCTGGAAGCTTAAAATTATCCCATCATCCAGCAAATGTGTCTGGCAAAGATTTGAAGAGGCCGACATCTTTGCCTTATTGGAATGCCTTCTCCATCTCACTAGCAAAGGCAGGATTATATTTGCTTTAGTTGAAACGCTCCTGTTTGAACACACCACTGCATCCTGTTTTTTCTCGCTACGGAGAGGGCTTAAAAGTACCTGCCTTTAATACTCTGAGCAAAACACAGCACACGCTTTACACACAGCCTACTGCAGCTGCCAATGAGGCAGCTGCTTTAAAGAGCCACAGTCAAGGGCTCCAAAGCATTGCACAGCCTTGACAGTTACATTAATAAGACACCCTGTATATCTAAATGAGAAAGTCAGATGTTGCTCAAAAGTTTAGCAATTGCTGTTATATTTCCCAACTGCTGGGGGTTAAAGGGGGGGGAACCTCCTGTTCCTTTGAGTTTCGACAGAATAGAAACTACAATTTCTTTTTTTGAGAGAACCCACAAAGACAACTCAATGGATATTAGGAGCACAGGTATCTTTTCAAGTCTGCAGCTCTCATCTCTCGTCTTAGTGCTGGGAACTCTTTGTTTGCAAACTCCAAGCAAAGCAAAATAATTATGTGTCCAAGTTTCCAGGACTAAAAGGGTGTGGGGTTTTTTTTATATCTGGGGTATTCTGGGCATCCCTTTCGTACCATCAAACTAATAATATACTTGTATTTTTACGGAGCGTGTTCAGAGACCCCCTTGGATTGTCAAGTTTCCCTCTTTAGCTATCCATTCCTTACATTTTCCCACCTTCTATTCTAGGAATTAAGACATACACACACACACACTCAATTTTTTCCAAGAAAGGCATTCGTTACAAGAATAACTTTATGGTAGATAAGCAACTAAGATAAAGACCAGCTGCTCCATTTTATTAATCTTTGCTTAGCTGAGCTGTAGTAAATTCTGCCCACCCACCCCCCATCTTGGCTGGCCAAAGACAAGCCATCAGCCCCTATATAGACATTCTGTAAATCTGAATAAATCTTTTCCCAAGAGGCTTAAGGTTACCCACACCATCTGCTTTTCCAGCCCAAACAGCCCCCGAGGTGTTATTCCTTCTCCTAATTTTTTCCCTATCCCTTCCACTGTTAACTGTCCCTACATTTCATTTTAGGAAAACATTAGAACAGAATGGCTTTTTATAGCGATCCTGTAAGAAAAGCAAGTGGATCACTTGGGTTTTAAGACTGCAACTTGGCACATATCTAGAAAAATTTGCACCATTATGATCATTCCCCCATCTGGTGATTGTGCTATAGATCAGGAAAGATTCACGTGACTAAAACCAAAGACTTCTAAAAAAGAAAAGGGCACTCTACAGAACCCTAATTTATTTCCTTGGAAAACCTCTCCCTAATTTTCTTCTTCTCCTTGCAAGGATGGCAAATTTCTTCCTGAAAAGACAGGCCAGTACAACTCCTTTAAGTCAGCTGCCCCATTTTTAAGGGCTTCTATTAAAAATAATTACATTTTTAATAAAGGGGCAAAGGCAACCTTTTTAATTAAAAAAAAAGTTGCCCGTTTCCCTACAGCGTAAGGATGATGAACAGATCAAGCTGTTATGAGCCAATTACAGTATATCCATAATTAAGAAATGCTTTTGCTGAGATTCATTTATTCATCCTACAATCTAGAAGACAGAAGGAGCCCCAGTCTCAACTGAAGGAAGGAAATAATTAAAACATCCCAGTCCAGCTTCTGTCTGAATACATACCATAAAGATGGACCAGCCCATGACTGAATAAAAAGCTATTTATTTAACCTGGTGATTTCACCGCTACTCAAATCTCTTCATAGTTTTTTTATTTAATTAAGATAATAAAAAATGCAAATGAAAATAAAGAGGGGGAAAAGAAAGAAGAAAGAAATGTATGATAAAGGGGGAAAAGAAAATACAAAAACTGTACTTTTTCAGCGCAGCAAAGTACAAAATGAAACTACAGCCTCAACTTTTTACTTTTACATACTTAGCAAGTACTAACTATTTCTATACCAACATATTATTCAGCAGATCCTAGAGTCAAGATTTCATTTTTTTTTTAAAATATATCTCAAGCACAAATTTCCAGGTAGAAACAAAACTAGATATATTTTCTCCGATTAAAACAGTTAATTTTGCCATCTCTGTTAATCATCTTTTTTTTATTCTTTCCGTAGTTTTTTTTTTTTTAAATTTAATTCCCAACATTTAATTTGGCTTCAATCCAGGTGACATTATGAGCCTCGAAAACTTGTACCGTTTCAACCGATGAAAATGATCGCTTGTTTTGAAAGAGAGAAAGTCCTTTTCTGGGCCAGTTGAAATGTCCACCACCTCCCTTACTTACAAGCTTATCCCTTCTGCTTTGCCAGTTAACCCAAGTTTTTATATGCTCTGTTACCTATTCGATAGATCCGGGCTTCTAGCGTTCTTTCCAAAACGAAGGGCAGGTTGATAAACTGCCAGTCTCCAGCGCTTTCCAGACACACAGTCTTTGATATGAATCCACCACCTTTATTTATGCCCTTTTCAGCTGCTGGGATAAGACTCTCCAGGGCAAGACACATGCTTACTCACCCCCATGTGGTAGCTGGTGCAAGAGTTTCAGTTGTCTTATGCTTACAAGTACACGGGAGCCTAAAAATACATCTCTCCCTACTCCTAGGAGGAGGGAGGGAGGGAGAAGCAGAGAGTAGAGGAATTCAATGATCTGATGAGAAACTCCAGCTGATGGGTGGGTGGGCGTTTGATTGGTTGAGCAGTGCCTCAACCAGAAGCTCTTGAGCTCAAGCCCAGTAATCACAACATTGCAGGATGCCACGAGGTTGTGCGGATTCTCCTGCCGTCAGCTGACCACCAGACTCCTCCTCAGGATCAGATGTCCTGTTCAGTCAACACTTACTCCTCTCTGACCGTTGGGGAGCTGGCCAAGGAAGGAGCTTTGGAGCCAGGTGCAAGCTGGTACTATCACAACATCAAACATTAACCAGCCTGCGGAGGTCAAGCTGGTAGGCAGGGAAAGGAAGTCGCAAGGGACCGAGATAGCATTCCCTTCTTCCTTGTTTGCTTTCCATTCGGAAGAACACGAAGCAGTCCTACCAGCTGAGAAAGAACTAAAAGCTACTTGAAAAGAATAAATAACCCAAAGAGACCCGTGCTAGAAGGAGTGGACTGTGAATGCTGGAAGCTTCTGTGACAAAATATTAAGTTTTGAAGGGCCCAGAAGATTCCCTGCCTTTTCTGCTATTAAAAATCATTTTTATCTGCTCCCTTCCCCACCCGAATCCCCAATTTTGGGGTGGCAGGAGGTTCTAAGGGCGCCCAGACCAAGAAACCCAACTGGAGAAAGAGAACTATCATCTGCCTGTTATTTAATTCGATTTTAAAACAAACTATTTATTTATTATCGTGGTTTTTAGTATCGCCTGTTCACCGCCCTGAGTCCCGCAAGGGAGATAGGGCGGTATATAAATTTAATAAATAAATAAATAATAAATAAAAGAAAGGCGAGCAATTCTTTAACTTGTCAACTGGGTCTCTGCAGATACCTTTGGAAGAAGAAACGGTCAAGCAAGCTTCAGCCTATTCCAGAAACAACCTCTCCACGCTTCCCTTTAGAGTTTCTTCACCACCATGGCCAAAAAAAATCAAAAAAAAAATCATACAACCGGGCACCGATTCGCTTCACAACTGCCTTGTTTGCCCACCGTCTCAGTTTTGGCCGTAAGCCGAGGACTTCCTGTATGCTGGACGTTATTCTCGCACCAGAGGTAGTCACGCTGCCACCCATGCCAAGACGGGGAGCAATTTCAGAAGAGCGTGCCTCGCTCACCCTGGCTCTCGCGGGGGCCCCCCCAAACCTGTTGTGTAGCTTTTTGCCAACGTGCACGGCCAAGCACACAAGAGCACGCTGAGCCGGTGCAGTGCCTTAGGAGCCAGCGGCCACTTCTCGCCTCCCGTCAGCCGGATTCTTCCTCCATGAGCAAAGCAGGTGGGGCTGAACTCCACCCCGGGCCTCTGTTTATTCGGAGCGAAGGGCTGAGCTCAGTGGGTCACTGGCCAAACAAGCCAGCTTTGCTGAACTGGCTTCCTTAACAGCCTGGAGCAGGACTCCTGCTTTAGCACTTCCTTGCTTTAATCAGCAGAGATAATTCCTGGCACCACTGGAAAGCAAACTCTTTAAGTGTTTTATGTGGGGCGGGGAAGGGACTGGCCCCGGTGAGCCCTGAACCCGGATTCCTGTTGTAGGCTGATATAAAAAAATCCTCCTTCGAGTTGGCTCAAATGGGTCCTGGATCCATTTCTCGGATCAACATCAGTACAATATAATTGGCAGGGAATTTGTATTTCCCATTCTAGAAACCAGGAGACGGTGAGTTCTAGTCCTGCTTTAGGCATGAGGCCAGCTAGATGACCTTAGACCAGGGGTCTTCAAACTTGGCCCTTTGATGACTTGTGGACTTCAACTCCCAGAATTCCTCAGCCAGGCACGTGTGCCTGGCTGAGGAATTCTGGGAGTTGAAGTCCACAAGTCATCAAAGGGCCAAGTTTGAAGACCCCTGCCTTAGACCAATCACCAGGAGACTGTCAGTTCAAGTCCTGCCTTAGGCAATGTTTTAAAGGGTTGTTGTGGTGGGGAAAATAGGAAGAGGAAGTGTTCGATATATTTGCTACCTTGAGTTATTTGTAAAACTAGAGCTGGGATACAAACAAACAAAATTCTAAGATATTCTAGAGGCCTCCCATTCAAGTGCTAACTCAGTCCAGTCTGGCTTGGCTTTTAAGATCAAAGGTGCCTGCTAAACTCCAGATTTCAGGACAACTACACCAAAATTCTACTTTTAGGATTCCTCTGGTGGATTTCAAGCTACTTTGCTAAAGCCAATGTGTTTGAAAAAGGCTCTGTTAAAGTCTTTAGGCTCACTGTTTGAATAAACCCCATTTCTATTCTTATCTTAACACAGAGAGCCACGCAGATAAGGAGGCATTGCAGCATGTTCCCCCAACACTACACTTACACAGAAGTAACCGCTAACAGTTCCCATTGGGCTTACGCTCAGGTAAGACCGTCCAGGGCAGCCGAAGGTACATGTAATTTTCTTTCTGATTTAATTTTCCAAACCCTCACTGTGGAACTTCAAAGCAATGGATACCTTTTTGGCCATATCAGAATTAAATTAGATCTACAGGAATGCAGAGATGGACAGACATCATTTTGTGTAAATATTTGCTCTGCGTCCAGAGGGCACATGATCAGAAGTCTGAAATTCAGGATACTGGGATTCAGCCTGACGCCATAATCCTCAGTACTTGTGCGGGACCTACCTTATCAAACTCAAGAGGAATTTACTTTACTCAATCTATTGTATGAATGCAGACTGTGGGATTATTTTATCTTTCAGCCTGATCTGCTTGCTAGGTTAATTCCGTAAAGCATTCTTTAGCTGTGGGCTGTAGAAACATGGCCAGGGAGGGTCCTTAATGCCACATTCTTATCCATGTCTACATGGTACAGTTTCAAAAAAAAAAAAAATTCTTTCATTGATATAGCCAGCCTCTCTCAAACAACTCTGGGCAACCCATATAACAAAAAAGTAAAATAAAATAAAACTAAAAATGGGATCTGAAGCCTATCTGCAGTTGTTTTGCCACCTGAGATTTTAATGCTGTAGCTCTTTGTGCCTCGGTCGGCAGATTGTGTTTAATTGTCTGAATCGCGTGGTAACCCAACCTATAAACTGGATTGAGCTGAGCTGGATGGGCAACTTTCTACATGAGTCTCACTTCTGTCCAGATTCAAGACCTACACTTTGCAGTTTATTTTGTAAGAGATAATATTTTTTTTCAAAAAAAGTACTGTGCAAGAAATACTTTAAAAAAAAAAAGTACTGCACCTTACTTGCTTTCTTGATAGCGAGATAGGCAGCTTAAAAATTAAATCCATCCATCATCTATCTATCTATCTATCTATCTATCTATCTATCTATCTATCTATCTATCTATCTATCTATCTATCTATCTATCTATCTATCTATCTATCTATCTATCATCGTCTGTCTGTCTGTCTGTCTGTCTGTCTGTCTGTCTATCTGTCTGTCTATCTATCTATCTATCTATCTATCTATCTATCTATCTATCTATCTATCTATCTATCTATCTATCTATCTATCTATCTATCTATCTATCTATCTATCTATCCATATCTATCCATCTGTCTTTTCTGTTCTTGTAATAAATCAGATAAACTCAAAATAAAAAAGGCACATTAAAACTTTCAAACCTTGGAAAATCGGAAGACCGACGTGCTTACCTCGGTCCCGGAGCTCTGTTTACCTTCGTGGTTCTGAAAAGCAGACAAGGCTGGGGTGAGAGTCTTCTCCAGGTGGGCGACTTTACCTGACGCTTCCCCCGTGATTATTCTCAGACCGATTACAATTCAAGGGAAGATTAAGGTTCTCGCTCGGCTGGCCCAGCCCCTCGCCTACCTCGCCCCGTTTCCCGGCTTCGCTCCCTCCACCCACCCACCCGGAGCGTCCTGAGTTCGCCCACCAGGCTCGTCCCCGTCCCAAGCCTTGCCTGGAACTCACCTGCCCGGCATCCCGGAGCCGGCCGGCGAGGGGTGCGAAAGCTGCGGTGGCCAAGTCCTCTTCTTCCCAGGGGGGGGGGACCCCGAGATTTGGACTGGGAAGGCCGGCCGGGTAAGTTTGCGCGCGCTCCTGCGCTTTCCCCGGGCCGGAGAGCCTCGCAAAGCCAACTTCTCCCCCTTCTCTTCCCTGCCCACTTGCCTACCTGTGCTACCTGCCTGCTCTCCGGCCCAGGAAGCGGCCGTCCCACCTGGCGCGCCGCCCGGCCGCTTCCTCTTTGCTTTCTCAGCCGGCTGCCCGGCAGCGCCTTCCTCGGAGACTCCTCCTCTTCCCTCTCCCTGCCCGGCTCACAGTGGGGTGGGGAGGCGGCCAGGCTTACCTTACCGCCCCTTCGCCCTCCTTCCCCCCCCCCCAGGCTCCGGGACTCCTGCCAGGCGATCTGGGACGGGCGGGGTGGATTTGCGCCGCTTGCCTGCCGAATCTGCGCTCTGTGGCTCGCTTGGAGAACTTCCCCGACGTGTGAATGCAAGCCCATCTCGTTTGCGAGCTACAGTTTTGAGCCCAGAATGACAGGGTTGGAAGGGACCTTGGAGGTCTTCTAGTCCGACCCCCTGCTCCAGCAGGAGATCGCTCGCTTGGAGAACTTCCCCGACGTGTGAATGCAGCCCATCTCGTTTGCATCGATGTCAAAACTCGGGTCTTACTGTCCCAACCTTCCCTGGAACCTCCAGAAGATCAGGCTGGGGGACGAGGTCGTCCGCTAGCATGTGGTAAGGCCTGTTTACCGACAGGTTAGAGAAAAACTACCTCGTGGGTGTACCTACCTCGTGGGTGGTAAAGACTTCCGTTCGGCAAGGTGACTAAATTAACAAGACAGTCGAAATTTCTCCTTCGTTCTAGGTTGGCTCTCTCCTTGATTCGTTTCCATCTGTTGCTTCTTATCTTGCCCTCGGTTGCTTTGGAGAATGTTACACCACCACCCTTCTCTGTGACAGCCCCTCAAATAGTGGAACTGTTATGGTGTCACTCATAACCAAGAAAGCCACAAATTCCTATATGGGGCAAGGGGTTGGACTAGAGCAGGGGATGGTATTATGGCAGATTTACAACCTGTGGATTTCAACTCCCAGAATTCCTAAGCCAGCCTTGTGGACTTCAACTCCCAGAATTCCTGAGCCAGAGACTGGACACTAGCTGGGAAGCTGGGAAGGGCCAAGCACCCTGGAAATCTTGCCAGAAAAACTGCAAAGACTTGTCCAGATAAGTGACCTCCCCTTCCTATGTTAATTTCCAAAGTCATCATTTCAGTTTGTTACGTTTTCATCTTTCGCAGTCTGATCCAGCCTTTCTCCGCCTTGCCCCCCCCCCCTTAAGACGTGTGGACTTCAACTCCCAGAATTCTAGACATGATCATCAACAGGTTAGAGGGCAAACAATACTTTTCACTTTTTTTTAAGGAGTCAATTAGGCCAACAAAGATTATTATAAACAATTCCTTTATTGTTTTCATCAAGCAAGAACAAAATACTGTAGTTTCAGAAGACGACAGCAAAGTTATTCTGAATTTATTCGGGTCGCTTTCAGAATGAGAAAGGATGCAGGAGAAACCCTCAATAGGAGGAGAGTTGAATACTATTTGTGATTTGAACTATTTCCGATGTGCTATAAAACTGAAATGTAAGGAAAAAAATGGAGGGGGTTAAACGTTACAGCTGGGCAAAATGTGCCTCCCGTTCAGCTACTGAAAATTCCACGGATTTCAGCAGAAAAATACGATTAACTAGGAAAACCTGCTGTGAAATTTGTTGGCGCTAATTTCTAGGAAGGTACAACATCAAACTTGAGAACAGGTATTGGTGAATGTTTACGTAACAATGAATCCACATCTTTTCTCAGCTTATCCACAGATATTCATTTTCAAGCTTCAAAATAAGTCATTAAAAGAAAAAAAAAGTTAGCAGTACACAGCGGGGTCCAACCTTGGCAACTTTAGGACCTGTGGACTTCAACTCCCAGAATTCCCCAGCAGCCAGCCATGCTGGCTAGGGAATTCTGGGAATTGAGATCCACAAGTTTTAAAGTTGCCAAGGTTGGACACCCCAATGTAAACAATCAAGTCTGCGTCCAAACCAAAATTAACCTCAGCCAGGTGTCTCTGGCATCCAAAGAATTCTTCTGGCCCACCATCACCACACACGGCATCGGTGGATGAGTTCCTTCAGCGTCCGGATGCCTTCAATGCTTCTGTCCTTCAGAGCCATCGCCAGTAGAACGGCCTTGTTGCCAGCTTCCTGAGACACCGAGGTCACCAGGTGCTTGGCGGAGATGTGGACAAGAGGCTGAAAGCAAGTTAAGAAGGTCTTAGAGCAGGGGCCCTCAACCTTGGCAACTTTAAGACTTGTGGACTTCAACTCCCAAGTCCACAAGTCTTAATGTTGCCAAGGTTGAGGACCCCTGTCTTAGAGAACAGTTCTCCCCAACTTCACCTTCTCCACCTCTTTCTTCCTCCATGATGTGGCCCTCTGGCCAAGCCATCAAGAAAGCTGGTGGACTCCCAAGAGAGCAAGGGAAGTCAAAGGAGAAAGGAAGTCAAGGAAGATCCTTGGAGGTATGAAGTAAGGTAGGCATGGGACAGGAAGAATACCTCATCTTTGCCGAGGAGAACTTTGGTGGTCCACAAAGATCTGCTGATCCCTTCAGCTACCGCATCAGGCTCCACTGAGACCAGAGTCCCCATCTTTCCATACTGGGTCACCACCACCAGGATCGTGGCTCCAAAGGC